GGGTACCTGCCAGGGTGCAGGTGCACCGAGTCTGTGGTTTGGGCTCTCCATCAAATACTTCTGCTGAGGTTTTGGGGTTTTTATAAAACCTTATGATATAAAAGCAGGCCTGCGAGCACAAGACCCGACTCCTTGAGGAGTGCAATGGATGGAGCCCTGATGGGGCCTTTGGTATAAATTTCCCCCAGGTTCATTTTTAAACGTGGGAATTTCATTGTCCACATAGGAAAAATGAGGCAAGGGGAGGGGAAGGATTTTGCCAAAGACTCAACAGCAGAACAAGGCACCTCACATCCGAATGTGTAGACTCTGATCCCTTTTGCTCTTCTGTAACACCTCGTTTCACCCCCAGCTTTGTGTTTCTTCCCAGGGCCGTTGCAGAACCTGTCTGCTTCCACTTCACAAGCCCAAAAAACCATTGAGAGCCTCTTTGCTGCAAGGTATGCACCTTCTTGGCCTTCCTCTGACCTTAGCAGATGTTTTGCACCTACGTAGGTCCAATGCAAACACAAGCAAGGGGAAGAGGAGGGACATGCTGGGGTTAGCAGCTGGAGCCGGGATCGAGCATGATGGCAACAGCTGGGAACCAGGGATGGTTTTTGAAGGGGAGGGTGAGCATCAAGAGGGGCACGGAGGTAATGGCTTCCTTTTTGTCCTCCTGCAGGCTGACCTTCAACAAAACCAGGCTGCTGACTCGAGCCGCCAAAGGGTTCATGAGCAAATCTCCAAGCAGAGTGAGCGAAGCCAGCTCCGAGGGTGACAATGAGAACATAGACTACCTTCCCCTGGTGAGCAGCTCATTCCTGGGTCTTTCTGGGGTTACATGGTCACTGCAGAGGAGCAGAGGGCAGGAGGATACCCCAGATCCTGCCTCTTGCTGTCTCTGACGGCCATGTCCTATGGTCTGCTCTGAAATGGAGAGCTGCTGCACCCATGCATGCCTTTTTCCTTAACGTCCCAGAAGTGGCTGGGATCTCAGAGTTTCTCTCTGTGCCCACTGCCCCTTGCAGGCCTCTCTGCAGCTGGCCTGCGGTGCCTTCCTCATGAACTCAGCCTTCTGCGATGCCGTCAACATCCCCATGGAGAAGCTGAAGTGGACGTCACCCTTCGCCTGCCACCGCCTGGCCCTCAGCCCCTCCAGCTCCTACAGCACCAAGAAATCCAGTCCCTCCAGGGACCACAAAAACCTCACCTCTGGCCAGCAGCTCCTGGTTCCCAATAGTGCACATGAGAAGAGTCCCACCACCAGAGATGTTGCTCCAGGTGTGGTGACGGAGGGACCTGGCAGACACACAGAAGACCCTGGCCGCCTTCGCCACTTCTCGGGCAGCGCGGTTGAGAGCATCTCCAAAGCCCTGAAAGCCGAGAAGGAACTCTCTCCACCTGCCATCACCATCCGCCGCTTCTCCTCCCCGGAGAGCACATCGGCCGAGTGGCAAGCCGACAGCGGCCGGGGCTCCGAGACAGACAGCTCCGAGGTCCAGGCATTGCTCTTTGACATCGAATTGCAGCAGCAGACAGAGCCGGAGGGGATGCTGTGGGCCACAGCAGTGGCCTTGGCCTGGCTGGAGCACAGCTCAGCTTCCTATTTCATTGAGTGGGAGCTGGTGGCTGGCAAGGCCAGCCTGTGGCTGGGCCAAACAGGCTGCCAAGGCCAGCCTGTGGCTGAGCCAACAAGACTTCCCGGAGGGATACAGCCTGGCCACGGTGAAAGCCGCGGCCCAGCAGCTCTTTGTCCTGCTCCGGCACTGGGATGAAAACCTGGAGTTCAACCTGCTGTGCTACAACCCAAGCAGCGTGTAAAGAGAACGAGAAGAGAGGACCGAGCAGTGTACTGAGGACACAGGAGCGGGGACCTGGCCTCAAGGGAACATCTCCAAGGAGCTCAATCCCTCTCCTGCAGGCACAGTGTGTGTTTATTAGAGCAAGCCCTGCAAACGGAAGCAGCCTGGGCAAAATCTTGTGCTCAGCAGTCGGTATTTTGCCCAGGAGGGTACTTGCCACCTGCCCGCAGTGGGATGCTATTTATTTTTAACCAGAGCAGCACCTCCAGTTATGGCAGTTACCTCTCATCCTGGTTTCTTCTGGTTCCCAGCCCTGTTCCCAGAGCAAGTCTCCCTAATGCCTGCTCGGCTTGCCCCGTCCTCATTTGGCTGCTTCTTCCCAGCCCCAAATCACTGCCAAGCCCCCACAGCCATCCCCCAGCCCCGAGCTGCTGCTGTCCCAAGGCTCCTGCCATCTCAGATGTTTTTTGGTGAATGTGAACACCTGACAACCTGCTCATCTCATGGACCAGAGGAAATCCAAGAGTCTCAAGAGCAGCCCTGCTGTCACAGCCAGGAGGATGCTGCCTCGCCTCACACACAGAATCACAGAATCACAGAATCGCTCGGTTGGAAAAGCCCTCTGAGATCATCATGTCCAACCGTTCCTGTCTACCCACTAAACCATATCCTTAAGTACCTCATCTACCCGCTCTTTAAATACATCCAGGGATGGTGACTCCACCACCGCCCTGGGCAGCCTGTTCCAGCTTCTGACGACCCTCTCAGTAAAGAACTTCCTCCTTATCTCTAACCTGAACCTCCCTTGGCACAGCTTGGTGCCATTTCCCCTTGTTCTGTCCTCCATCACCTGGGAGAAGAGACCAGCACCCACCCGAGCCAGCAATGCACCAACAAGCCAGGCCAATTGGAGACTGGCTGTCCAGACCACATCACATCCAGACAGCACTGGGGTCCCTCAGCCCCTCTGTGATCCCAGAGAGGCTCTGTGGCTCTGTGAGACCCCTTGCAGAGGACGGCGTAGCCTTTGGAGCTGCACAGGCAGAGCAAGGGTGCCTGGGACTGAAGGAAGGGACGGGCTAAGGAAACCAGCCCCTTGGACTTGATACCGAATGGAGATCCCCTGTATTAGAATAACAGAGGAATTTAATTCACTGCCAAAATGCTGCATCCTTCTTTCTCCACGCAGGCCTCCTGTGTGCTGATCTGTTGGCTCTGAACTGCAGGGACCTGCCTTTGGATCCTTTGGCTCACTCTCCTAAGGATGTCTGACTCTCTAAACTCCTCCGAGCTGGGGGGCTCACACTGCAGCCCGCACAGCATCTATCCCGAGAGCTGTGCCAATGCCCTGGGGTGACATGGAGCCACCTCTTTCCCCATCTCCACTTCTTTCATTCATGCTGCTTAAAGCCAAGAGATGGCCAGACCCAAATCACATCCCCAGACTCATGGGTACCATGGCTCCCTGGGAGCCCGGCTGAGTTGTTCACCAGCCCAGCTCCAGCACAGCCCAGTGATACTCAGGCGATTGCCAGGAGCTTCATTATCTACCATAATTTGTAGCAGGCTGAGGGCAGGAGGCACCATGAGGACTGTGGCTTCCAGAGCTGATGGGTAGAAGAGAAGGAGACAGGGAGGAGAAGCTGAGAGTGCACATTTTTCAACCAAAAGCTCACTCGTTACTAGAAGTCAGTGGCATTCCCAGAGGGAAGAAATCCAGGTTCAAGGTTTTTTTTTCATTAATTCTTTAACTTTAATTTTCTATCTTTCATTTTCTGATGGAGAAAGTTCCCAGGGACTTAGACTTTTTTTTTTCCTAGAGCCTTAGAAAAATCAAAGAAAATGCAGTTGATTCATGCACATAGGAGTTTGGGCTCCTCTGCCGAGGAAGGAGGGGTGAGGAGGGGAGTGTGAGTGAAAGAACTGGAAACTGCCCAGAATTGGGAAACAATGGGGAAATATGGAAATATGGGAAAGGGTGTTTCCTTCTGAGACAAAGCATCTTTTCTTTGAAACCTTCCCATGGGGGAAAGCATCCCCTCCATTGACTAGCAAAGCACCATGAGTCAGAATCTGCTTTGCACCAAATCTTTTGGGTTTTTTTCTGAGCAGAGCTGGTGCAAAAATGGAGTATTTCAGTGCATGAGCAAAACCTACCTCTTGTTTTCTGCCTTCCTGCAGCCCCCTGCCCACCAGGACCTACTCTGGTCCCTGTGACTTCATTTTATTCCCAGTTTATTCCCAGGGCACGTGCACTTCAGCCCTCCTGGGGTTCCCAGTGAGCTGGTTCCTGCTCCCTTGGTTCTCCCAAAAAACCCAGGCTGACTCTCAGGAGCTGCCCAGCGCTCTGTTAATCTGGAGCCATTGGGAAAAGCAGCATCCACCCCACTTTGGAGGCTCCTTTGAGAGTCAATGGGTCCCTTGTTCTGAAGGAGTGAGTGTGTAGCATCAGCGTAGCCCATCCTACATCCCCTTGGCTGTCAGGGAAGGAAAAGGGGATGGAATGGGTGAGCCCGTTTTGGAGACCGATGCTTCTCTCACCACTTCTGCCCAGCTGCCATGGCTGGCTCAGCACCGAAGGATGCTCCAGGATGGTCCATGATGGGGTGCAAAGGGGGTGAGTCTCCTCACACCTGCTGCCTGAGACCCCGTCAGGCATGGGGACACTCGCCATCACCACCCCGCGCCCTGCAAGGACCTGGGTGCTTCCCACTTCACTCTGGGTCTGGTGGTCCCCAGGATCCATCTGGCAGCAGCTCCATGGATCAAGTGCCTATGGAGGGAATCGCACCATCACCTCCAGCGTAGCTGCGATGCCCGTGGAGCTCGTCTGAAACCCATTGCCTTTTGCCCCCTCCCTCAGCATGTAGCAGCCTTGCTGTGTCTCAGCAGGTTTCTGTTTTGTGTCTGTGTTTCTGAGGCAGGGAGATGGGAGGAAAAGCGCCGCTGGGGACCACGAGCATCCCTCTGCTCTCAGTGTCACCTCTCTGGGGTCACCAGCATGGCGGTGCTTGGCACTGCTGCAGGTTTGCAGGCCGGGTGCCTCAGCGCGGTGGTGTTTTCTGTTGCAGAAGTGTTGTTGTCCCAGTAAACCACAGCTTGCTTGACTGTCCGGGTGAGTCCTTTGTTTTGGGGTGGGTTTTCTGGGGCTCTGCCTTCCCCAGGGGCACCCCAGCTGGCTGGAGCATTGCATGAACTGTCCAAAAAAATCCCACCCTACTTCTGTACTTGACTTAAGATCTGGGTTTCAGCAGCGAAGGAGCTTCCATCAGGTTCTGGAGAGCCGTCTTTTTGCAAACCCCAAATTGCACAGAGCTTTTTAAGCTGACAGATTTGGGGTTTTAAAAACCAGGGGCAGTTGGTCTTAATTCTTCTGTGAGGTAGAGAAGAGGAGCAGAGAAATCCTGCTACCATCTCTATCACTGGTATCAGGGCTTTCAGCATTTGCCCTGTTGTCTTCATCCTACACCTTCTTTAATTAGTGCTGTCATTGCAGCTATTGGTAAAGCAGCCATCACATTTTCCAACCCAAAGCAGGAGGCAGGAGCTATGTCATCCCTTATTTTCCTCTTGGCAAGCAAGGGCTCGCTCCCATGCCCTCCTGCTTTTGGTGACCTAGGTATACATCTATTAAAAAAATTAGATAGTTATGGCCATGTTTGCCCCCTCTGTACCAGAGCAGAGGGGTGTTTCCATCTCATCCCCCCAGCTCTGGCAATGCCTGCTGGGGAAGGGCACTGAGACAGGGGATGGTGATAGCTTTATAATCCTCTTTCCTTTCCCAAATTTTCCACCCTGCCCCAGCTCTGCCCATCTTCGCTGCACCCTTGGCAAAGGCACGTGGATGGGAAATGCTGCTTTCCCCATCATCCCACCCTGGACCGAGCCGCTGGGACCCACCATGTGCTAAAAAAGCGCCTGGCTGGGCCTGCCTGCTGTGCCGCAGCAACGCGGCGTTATTAACTGGCCTTCGCTTGGCTAATTGGGCCGCTAATGAGAGCAGGGCTGGCTGTGAGGAGAGGCTGGGAAGTGCCATGTTCTTGGGGGACAGAGTGAGTCTCCCCAGGAGTGGGGATGGGTCCCTGCAGCCGCAGCATCTCCAGAGGGTTCCCCTCAGCATCCCCCTTTGCATCCAAGGGGATTTTCACCCCGTTAAGTCATCGTCTTAATGAAGGGTGCTCCGATGCTGTTGCCAGGGTGACTGCGAGTGCCTTATTAAGCGAAATTAGTTTGGATACAGTTGTCAGCCGTAGCTTAATAAATAAACCCCTTTACACTGCGTAAATAAATATTTGCACGCAGGGAGGGAGATGCTTCCCAGCCCTGGGCGGCATCGTGCCACCATTGGTACTGAGGAGCATTTGGGGAGAAAATCAACCACATTGGTGTCACACTGGTGCAAAACTGGGCCTGCTGATGTGGGTCTCGGAGGGTTACAGCGAATGGTGGGACCCTGTGAGACCCCTCTGCATCCCCCCTGCCCTGACATGCACCATGGAGGGGAGATTTTGCTGTCAAAATCCCTGCCCATCGGGGCCATGGCTCCTTCATTATCCGGCACCCGGAGGAGCCTTTTTTTGCTTTGAAGGGTTATGAAACCTGCAGGAGAGGGGGAGGATGGGAGAGCTTAAAAAAGAGCCGTCGTCGTGTGTGTGTCCCCCCCCACACCCCGCAACCCAGCCATCGCCTGCCGAAAAGGGCTGGCGCCGCGCCCGCAGCCGCTCGAGCACAGATTGCGCCTCTGCCCCCGTCCGCCCGCCAACCTGCCGCAACTTTGCTGGAAAATGAGCTCTTTAATAGTATTTTCTGTGTTTTGTGTGTGTGTGTCCCCTATTGCTGCGAGGAGAGCAGGGGGGCAAAGGCCGTGCTGCAGCCGTAGCCCCCTAGAGCATCCGCAAAGAGACGTGGGGCTGCCCCTGGTGCTTTTTGCTTCTGATGTCTCCAAATAGATGCAGCGGAGCAAAATTCTACCTGTGATGTGTGGGAGGGGTCAGCAGCCACCCAAAAACCCACACCAGG